AAATAAATAAATAAAATCTTTAAAAAATAAAAAAAAAATAAAAATAAAAATTCCTTTTGAAATGCATATAATATGGTTTGAATTAAAAATCACTGTGTATTTCAGCAGAGCACTTGGAGAATCAAATTAATTTCATTTCTTGCATATACATTTTACAATAAAAGAACAAAAACAGCAAAAATATTCCAGTACTTTTTTGTCAGCTGTGTGGATGATATTCCAAAATATATACTAAATGTGAAAAACCTTTTTACCTCTTTTACAGCTGAATAGATTGACTGCTTGATGAATAATTGCATGTAACTCTTTCTAGCTCACAGAAACATAAATTATAGCACTGGAAAGGATGTGTTAGATTGTGTGCTTCTCTTCTTTTTCATTTCCTCCCAAAAATTCAGAAAGAGAAAACATGAGCCAAAACATCAGAGAATATTTATATCATGTTTCAGTAAACTTTGAAAACTATTATGTTGAGCTTATTCTGCTTCCTACTTGAAAAAATGCACGGATGCAAACCCAGGAATCCAGATGGTTGTTTTACTCTATCTTTTCCTCACCTTCTCTTTAGAGAAACCACAGCATTTACCAACATGTTGGCACTTCTCTCTTCTACTTGCAGATTTATTTTTTAAATTTTATTTTATTTAAATTCAATTAATTAACATATAGTACTGTACTATCAGTTTCACAGGTAGAGTTCAGTGATTCACCAGTTGCATATAATACCCAGTGCTCATTATATCAGGTGTGCTCCCTAATGTTCATCACCCAATGGCCCCATACCCCCACCCCCTTCCCCTCCAGCAAACCCTCAGTTTGTTTCCTATAGTTAAGAGCCTCTTATGGTTTGTCTCCCTCTCTGATTTTGTCTTAGTTTATTTTTCCCTTCCTTCCCCTATGCTCCTCTGTTTTGTTTCTTAAATTCCACATGAGTGAAATCATATAACTGTCTTTTGTAGATTTATTTTTGTAAAGATAATCTTTATTCCCAGTTTACAAATGTTACAGATTTTTAAATAACAAATGTTATTTAAGCTTCTTAAAATGAAGGCATCTCTGGTAAGACCTACTGATACTCAATTTAAAAATGTTTCATAGCAGAATTTTAAAATTTTTTCCAAATATGTGGTCCATGTGTTTTAATTATAGAGAAAGTCAACAAACATACCAGCAAGTGAAGCAGAGGAAAACGCATGGCCCTGGGAGACCTGCACTCCCCTTCCTGCCTTGGCATAAGCTACTCACCAGCCGAGACTGGTCCAGAACAAGGTGCTCCCTGAGCCCTTCCTGTGCAAAGCTTCAGTAGCTCTGGGTGGCATGAGGCCAAGACAATCCCAATTCAGAGACATAAATCAGGAGCCTATTTTAAGTCCAACTTCAGACTAGGTGCTTTCAACCTCACAACAACCCTGTAAGGCAGATTTTGTCGTTTTCACTTTATAAATAAACACATGTAGGCTAAATGTTGCTCCATGAATTGTCCAAAGTTAGGTAAGTGGGAGGCCTGGACCTAAACCATGCTATTTGACCACATGGCTAGCGTCCATCTCCGAACCCAAGAGATGCCAAACCAAGCTGTTGTGTGGCATCAGGATCCAAATATTACTAATGGAGCCGCACTCAGGAATGCATGGGGGAAAATATTACACCTTAGTTCCAGTGTGCTCATACATGGTGGTGGAGCTGCAAAGTGGCAGAAAAACTTGAGATGGAGGAGGGGAAATGGAAATACCTAACAAAGCTATACGTGCACTTACACTTTGGCCATGCAATCCACTCCTGGGGATTTACCCCGAAGATACTCCTTCCACAATATAAAACTACATATGCACAAAGTCACTGAAGGAAAATTTTTAATTGCAAACTACTGAAAACTACCTAAATTGTCTGAGCAGAAGAGGTTGGGTGAGTAAACGATGGTACACACACTCAATGGAGTCCTATGTAGCTGCACAGAAGAACCAGAAAGCTCTCAATGGACTGATACAAAGAGAATTCTAGGAGGTATTACTAGGTGAAAGTGAAACGACGTTCAAAGGCATATAACAGTGTGCTATCTTTTGGGTAAGAAAGAAAGAAAATGTTTTAAATATGTTTATCTGTACAACACGAGAAGGATGAAGCATAAAACATTAAAGTTGGTTCCCTACAAAGAAGGGTAGGGAAACAATTGAAAGAATATGGGAATTAGTGATACTTCTCTGTGCCGTTTTTGTACAGTTTTGACTTTTGGAAGCATGTTAATCTTCTACATCTTCAAAAAATAAAATGACATAAATAAGAATATAAAGGGGACCTAAAGCTGAAACAAGTAAACCTAACCAGATCACAAATGAATACCAAAACCTCAGGAATAAGGAAAGCAGGGCCAGCCCAAGTTCATTCTGAACACAGCATTTGACTATATGCCCTCAGTCTTGGCAAGATGGTATATGTGAGTGAAAGAACTACAAACAACTGTCAATTTTCATGGTTTAGACAAAGCAATTCTGAAACTATTTGAGATATATTTTACAATTGAGCAAATAAGTAAATGTGTTTCTGTTGTTGGGAGCCAAGGTTCTCAGGACATACAAATATGAAATGAGGGAAGGCCAGAAAGAATGCTGTGGGGATGGATGGAAATTGGAGATATGATGTGAACTCGTGATTTCTACAATGAGTATGAGCATGTTTATATGCACACATATGTATTTATGGACTTATAAATGGACACATGCATGTGTGTATTCCTTAGCTCTGTCCACTGAAAAGGCGAAAAATTAAGGTCACCCCAGTAGCAATGACCACACCTAACACCCAGATCTTGACCCGTCACCTCTGAACAGAACCAGTGCTCATTGGAGAAATGGCAGGTAACAGGGTGGATGTAGGGTAGGTGCAGAGTAGGTACAAGATGCACCTGAAACACCGTATTGTACCAAAAAGGAAGAAAATGACCAACAAAATGATAGGGTTAGGTCAAAAGGGCACAGGAGCCAGATTAAAGGACCTCCCACTGACCACATCTAGGACAACTTGAGTACCAAAATAGTTAGGTACAGTAATGTATTATAAACCACTGGGGGAGGGGGGAGGATTAGTAATTCCATGCTGGTAGGATAAATAAAAGAGAGAGAAGGTGTGGCTCTTGCTTACAGTGGAATGCCAAGGGCTGACTGATGGATGTGAGGGGTGTGGAAGAGCTAGAAAATCAGCATTTTACCAGCATCATAGTAAAAAATGAGATCAGGCAAGAATCCTCAATGAATGCTAAGTCTACAGGGAAATTCTGAAGAGGAGCAGGACATTTGCATTGAATTACGGTATCTCCCCACAGATTACTCATTAACTGTAAAGGAGAAAGAAGAAAAACAATAACTGTTCAGTGGGAAATCTAATCAACATCCTGGCTAGGTGATGAAACTTTGTCTAACCACCAAGAGACATCGGATGGATGATCATCACGTGCCTCCAGATGCGATGCCCTAAGGAGGGCACAACCACTTATGCGGCTTTCCAGCTGAGAACACAGACCCTCAGTCCGTCACAAGAAAACAGACAAACATGAGATGAGAAGCTTTCTATTTTTAAAAAGTGGGGTAGAACTGTATTCTTCCAAAATGTAGGGCGCCTCAGTGGCTCAGTCGGTTAAGTGTCCAACTCTTGATTTCAGCTCAGGTCATGATCTCAGGGTTGTGGGATTGAGCCCGGGTCAGGTTCTGCACTGGGCATGGAGCCTGCTTAAGATTCTCTCTCTTCCTCTCCCTCTGCCCCTACCCGCCCCGCCTTGAACACATGCATGTGCTCTCTCTCTCTCTCAAAAAAAAGTCGATGTCATAAAAAACAAAAATGCTACAAAAATGTTTCAGATTAAAGAAGATTAATTGGATTCTATACCAGAGAGGGAAAATACTATAAAGGACATTATTAGGCTAAACAAAACTGCAATGTAGAAAGCAGATGATGGAAGTATTATATCAACATAAACTTGTTAAGCTGATAATTATACTGCGGTTCTATCAGAGAGCATCCCTATTCTTAGGAAATACCCACTGAAGTATTTAGAGATGTGTCACACATGAAAACCCTCAAATCATTCGGAAAAGAATCACGCGCACGCGTGTGTGTGTGTGTGTAGAGAGAGAGAAATGAAAAAGGAAATGCAGTAAAACATTAACAGTGAGTGAATATAAGTGGGTGAATGTACATGACTGTGTTCTTTGCAATATTTTCATTTTTGCCACTTTTTGTAAATTTTAAATTATTTTCATACAAAAAGAATATTTTTAAATCTATAGTTGCACTTACAATGTGAAGGAACCCTTAGCCTACGTGAGCAAGACCTCCCCGGCTTGCTGATAAACAGTGACAACTCCTGGCCACCAGGACTTCCCGTGTACTCTTCTCAAAGAGTTCGGCCAAGTGGATCTAATTACTTGTGGCTAGACTTGCCAGGAACCTTTTGGGTCCACATCCTGTCACGCTGGGTAAGTTTAGGCTGAGGTTAGTTTCATGATGTGTTACACATAAAAGTAATCACAGCCTCATTTTTTTCATTTATTCAACAAATGTACATGCCAGTCTCGGGTGGGAAAAGGGGGCCAATCTCTTAGGCCTTTGGCCAACCTCTGGGCCTACTGCTGGGGACTGCACACTCTCCCTGTTGATGAAACCAAGGCATTTGGATATGATCCCAACTCCTCCTGAGTTTTCACGAAAACATTCCATCTGCTACCCATCGGAAGCTGTTTTAGCTCCTCATTGGCTCCCAAATCTGCCCACTTCGCTCCATCCTTGTGGTGACTGCCTTCCCATCACCTCCCCTGATCAGCGTGTCTGCCTCCATTCTTACCTCCTCCGTCCTCCATGAGGCAGCCACTCTCCTCACAGTGGGTAAGGTTCAGGGCTGGAGGCATCCCGCAGTTTCCCCACCCATGCTCAACTCCCCCAGCCACCACACAGGTAAGAGAGGACCTCTTCCACAACAGGTGAGACTGAACTATGCACTGGGACCATCTCCCCTTCCTCAGGCCTTCTACCTCCACCAGCAGCGGAGAGGAGCAGACACAGAAAACAAACCCTACTCCCTTCAGACATCCACAGCCTCTCCACCTTCATCTGCCTTGAATCCACTGGACCTCATCTACTATGCTCTCTTGATCTCCGTCACCCCGAAATGATACTCAGCAATTCCCCTAGTTTGTCGCCACACCTCCACCCCTCCCTCCCCCCCGCCCCCGCCACCCAACTCCTGAAACCCTTCCTTCGTGCCCTCTAGAATTCATGGTCTCTCATCAGTAAAATCCCTTGGCCCCGCAGTCTGCTCTTTCATACTGCCTTCACCCTGGCGTGCCAGAAGAAGCCTGGCTCTCCCCTGAGGACTTGTCTTAACTGCAGCTCACTGGAGTCGGAGCTTTGCCTCTTGTGCCAGGGTCCTCATATCAGTGGGCCTGAGAATAGAGAAGATTCCTGCTTGCTTCCTAAGGCTGCTTTTGGACCATTCTCTCCTCTTTCCCCTACAACTCCCAGCTTGGGATCTCATCAGATTCCATCACCTGCCATCGCTCTGGTGGCTGTCATCCTGAAAGTCCTCTCCTTCAAACACCAAAGCTACTGCATGCAGTCAGTCACACCCTCCAATACTACTCTCGTGTTAATTACTGGAAATTTCAATATGTAAATAGAAACAATGCCTCCAACACCCAGACATCTCAGTTCCCTGAACTTCTCAATGCTGTTGTCTTCCTCCCTATCCCAACCACTCACTCCTGTGCTTGCAACCCCACAGCAGAGCTCTCAGCTTTAGCACGACTGACATGTGTCCTGTCTGTTTACAACATGTTGTAAAATGTGCAGCAGCACATTCAGCCTCTACCCTCTAGATACCAGGAGACTCTCTGCCCCGTCCCGCACTGTGACAACCAAAACTGTCTCTTGATGCTGCCAAATAGCCCAGGGGTCGGGGGGTAAGAAGGTGAAAACCCCTGCCTGGTAACTTCCCATTTACAATACCTAAAGCTCCTCTGTGATCTCAATGCCTAGCACCCAACCCTCTGACCACCCCGTCTCTCCAGCTTACTCCCTCCACTTCTCCACCCCCACCAAGCTTTCAACTCCTCCAACCAGGACCTCCTCCCACCAGACCCCACCCCTCTTTCACAGTTCTCACTCTTTCCTTACCCAGTCTCAATTCCATGATAAACCACGGGATTGGCTCCCCTGCCTCACCTAATTCCCTGGTCCTTCTCTTTGTACTAGTCTCTTCACCAAACCAACTCTCCACTTGCTTCATGTCTGCACCAGCGCTACTGAATGTGCGTGGAGAAAAGCATACCATGAATGGGCTCATTTTAAATTCAGGACCCTTCGTATTACCAAGCTATCATAGGATATCACCAAACCACATGTGCCTTGTCTATTTTCTCTCTAAAATTACTATTTCATACCTTCTTCTTCCTTCAGATCCCCACCACCTCCTACCCAAATTCAGCCTCAGCTGATGACCTTAATACCTAGTTCCCTCAAAACAGAAAGCAGAACAATCATAAGAAAACTACCCACCTACCCTAATCTACATTCCCATGCTCATCTTCCTGCCTGTTAACCAGAGATGAACTGTCCTGGCCGCCCTCTCAAACCAACCCTTCTATTTATACACCAGCTGTCATCCCCTGTCACCCACTCAAGAATATCGTTCCAGCAATTCTCTCTCCCTCTACCACATCATCAAGTGTTCATCATATATTGGATCATTCTTATCGGAGTATACATATGCTATTATTTTTCCAACTTAAAAAAGAAACCCTCTTGACCTGCTTCCCCTGACGGCCTTCTTCCTATCTGTTCCTCTTTGTGCCAAAACTCCTCAAAAGAGTTGTCTACATTTACCCTCTCCAGTTCCACTCCTCCTATTACCTCTTTTGCTTTTTTTCTTAATTAGCATGCACTGGGGAGAGGGGGGTCATCCCCTAATAATGGACTCCTCTCAGGGTGTTTTTCTTTTTTTTTAAGATTGTATTTATTTATTTGTTAGAGAGAGAGAACACATGAGCACAAGCAGGGAGAGCCACAGGCAGAGAAAGAGGGAGAAGCAGGCTCCCCACTGAACAAGGAGCCTGATGTGGGGCTCGATCCCAGGACTCTGGGATCCTGACCTGAGCCAAAGGCAGACGCTTAACCAACTAAGCCACCCAGGTGCCCCCCACCCCAGGGTGTTTTTCTTGCATATGAGTGCTACAGTAAGGATATATATGTCCCTTGTGATTCTCCAGGGCGCACAGACCTAAGAGTGGAACTGCTGAGATAAAGCTCACTCTTCAATCCACTGAAAATGGTCTTATCAATGACCTCCTACATTCCTAAATTCAGCAGTCAATTCTCAACCCTCTCCTGATTTGACATATCAGCATCATTTGACATAAAATGTGATTTTTAGCTGGCAAAACTGGATACAATCAGTATTCTTCCTACCTCCCTGGTTATTGCTTCCCAGCCTCTTTTTCTGGTTCTTCCTCTTCTTATCTGTACTCATTCTCTTAATGACCTCATGTAGTCTCATAGCTCCGAATACCAGGATATGTCAATGATTATCAAATCTCACTATCCTGCCCAGACTTTGGTTCCAAACTCTGGACTCGTAGAGCCCACTTCTTAAATGTCTCCACCTAGATGTATAACAGATATCTCAAATGCAACATGTTAAACATGGGATTCCTGATCTTCCTCCCCAAACCTGCTCAACTCAAAGCCTTTCCCACCCCGCTGGATGGCAGCTCCATTCTTCCTGCCTTTCAGTCCAAACACCTTTAAGTCACCAGGACTCCTCTCTCTCATACCTCCCCACATCCATGAAACCATGTAGCTAAATCCAGAATCCAACAGTTTCTCAGCACTTGAAATGTTGCTACCCTGGTCTGAGCCACTATCCTCTCTCATCTGGATTTTTTATTTTTATTTATTGATTTATTATTTTTTAAGATTTTAAGTAATCCCTACACCCAACATGGGGCTCAAACTCACAAACTCAAGATCAAGAGTTACCTGATCTACCGACTGAGCCAGCCAGGCACCCCTCGTCTGCATTTCTTAAGTAAGCATTAGTTGCCCAATGAGTGAACAGGCAACAATGTTTACTCTCAAGGAATTCAGTGAAAAGCAACCATTTGATAACAGACTTCTAAAAAATTTAAACCCCTCATAATAAACACATATTCCTAAAACCAAGAGCTAATACTTAAGTGGTGGAATAGTGATATTTTCATTAAAATCAGAAACCAAAGATGCTTTATATTACTCAATCACTTAACACTCTTCTATAAGTTATGACCAACACTATAAAATATGAAACATAAATAACAGAAATGAGGAAATAAATTATTTTTACTTGCAAATGATATAATTATATACCTACAAAAATTTATGAGAATCAAATTAAGAACTCTTGGCTAGCACACAAGAATTCAGCAACATGGCCAGATTTGAGATCAACATAAAACTCCACAGCTTTCACGTCCACCAGCAGAAAACAATTATAAGATACAACAGGAGGGAAAAACTGATCCATGAAATTAAGAAAAAATGGTCAAACCTGTAAAACTAAAACACATTATCAAACACTGTGCAGGCACATATGAATAAATATAATAAAAGGAGAAATGCTTATCATATGATACTAAATATAAAACCTGTGTACAGAACCACACAAGGGATGACATGTATTCATGTGTGTATAAACGTATATTATACATTTGTGCTAAGAGGGCAAAATCTGAAAGGGACGGCACCAAAATAATAAACATTACCTCTGAATTTTAAAATGTAATTTTCATTTTCTTCTTTATAACATATTTCCCAGATTTTCTAAAATTGTCATGGAAGACCTTTATACTAAAAGTTTTTTACTTTCTGGGAGGTATTACTGAAGTTGCAGCACCTATTTTGAAGCTTAAATAATCCATAAAAGTATTTATAATTAGCTGCTGAACCTGTCAGAGGAATAAATGTTTACAAAATCATTTTTTAGGGGCGCCTGGGTGGCTCAGTCATTAAGCGTCTGCCCTTCAGCTCAGGTCATGATCCCGGGGTCCTGGGACTGAGCCCCGCATCGGGCTCCCTGCTCCCCCAGAAGCCTGCTTCTTCCTCTCCCACTCCCCCTGCTTATGTTCCCTCTCTCGCTGTGTTTCTCTCTGTCAAATAAATAAATAAATTCTTTTTAAAAAAAAATCAGTTTTTAATTGCAGACAACTATTTGTTGCTCTCTCAAAAATGAATCACTAAACTCATTAAGGTTATATCTGAGAAAGAGGAGATTGTTACTTTTGGATGCAAAGGAAGAGATACATAGTACATACTAGTACATTCTTTGTATTTATTAAGATATGTTGATGTGTTTTGTTGGACACAGTTAATATTAAAGAGTGGAATTGGACAGTATTAGTGGCATAGCATGACACCAGGAAAAATCTTTTATCTGTAGGACACTGCTGTTCTTTTGGGAACTGAATACCTGAATTTGGTCTTAACAGCATTGAGCATACTGAGTTAAGTCTCTCTGACTGGACCAGCGGAGCAGAAAACCAGAATAAACATTTCAGCCATTTTTCAAGCTATGATTACTGGTCCAGGCAATAGGTTTCAGGGGGCTTTCATATTTAATCTATGATTACAGTTAGGTCTCCATAATAATCAACTTAATTCTACCATTATGTAAATCATTGCCTCACAGAGAGATACCCTGGTGGAGAAAGAAGACATACTGCAAAGCAAGAACACTCAGAAAACGGAGTACTTTGGTTAAATTAATGTCTTATAAAAAAAAAAAATAATAATCCCTTTGATTCAGGCCTGAATTCAGCACCTTGCAAGAGATTGATGACACCAGGCTAACGACCCAGGAGACAAGAGTGTCTCATGCGGCCCCCAAACACCACTCCTTTTCCAAGCTGCAGAAGGGACTGAGGCAGAGCTGAGTGTGTAGGAAACTAGGTCACACCATGGAGACTGCCATTAAAAAGTAACATGAAGGGCGCCTGGGTGGCTCAGCTGATTAAGCGTCTGCCTTCGGCTCAGGTCATGATCCCGGGGTCCAGGGATCGAGACCGGCATCTGGCTACCTGCTCAGCGGGGAGCCTGCTTCTCCCTCTGTGCCTCCCCCCACTCATGCTCTCTCCTTCTCTCTCTCATATATATAAATAAAATCTCTTAAAAAAGAGTAACATGAAAAATACCAATTTTGTTGTTTTGTTTTCTCCTAATAATGAAAAATATAAGAAGCTGAAAGTTCAAGTTAGTTGCAACTTTACCAAATATTTATTCTGAGGCAGAAGACATTTTGAGGCGCACTAACAATAACATAAAAGTAGTTGAACAAAGGACGTTGCTCACAAAAATAACTTAGGTATAAGGGGGAACATGACCATAAATAATAGCAATGCTTCCATGAAAAGTCTTACTCTTTTATTATAATATTCCTATTAAAAACATGAAACAGTATCTTCAACATGTTGAATAGACCTTACTCCTTGCATTAAGTCTTGTGAAACCAGGGGCAGGAGAGGGAGAAAACCATATAGCCCTACTATCTAATTCGCTGTTCTACTTTTTGGATGATTTTAATTCAATCTTACAGCTCATCTTTTAAGATTGATGCGTCTAATCAGGAGTTGAAGAAAATTATAGACTGTTACGAACTACTATAGTAGTTAGATAGTTTGGACTATCATTTTTGTAAAAATCTGGAATTTCCCCTCCTTACAAGTTAAAACTCATTTCAAAATCCAATTTTATCAATAAATGGCAGTCTGTCACAGTTCAGGGAGGGATCATTGCATTTTTTTTTCTCTAGAAATACCAGGTTTTCAGGTTGGACAGTACATAATCTCAGTCCGGCAGCTCACTGATCATCCCACAGTGTGTGAGCGCATGCTGCCGGGGAGATCTCTGCCCGACGCCGCATTCCACCTGCAGTCACTGCCGCTCCTTTCCCGCGTCTCCATGTGGAGATGCGGAAGCGCAGGCTCTACTCACCTCGTTTTTACAACAGACATCTCATCAGAAAGTCAATTCAATGCCATCCACTTAGGTTTTTGGTCTACATAAAGTCACTACCAAAGAGACAGAAGGATGGATTCTCGTACATCCTATTTTCACTAATTTATCCCATAAATACAAATTAGAATAACAGCACTTCAAGGGAGCATTATTTTCATAGACAGATAAAATGGAAGCTTTCACAGCCTTGCCTTTTTGGGCACAGTTTCTTAAAAGCCACCTCTCAAGGCATGAAAGCACCTCCAGGCTCCAACAAATACTATGCGCATTACCCAAACAATCCTGGAGGACACTGCCAAGCTGTAGGGAGAAAGTCAGTATTTCTGCACCCTTGCCTTACACGCTCCTTTAAAAGCCTCCAGAATTCCCCCTCCGGTTTATCTACCATGCTCAACTAAGGAGAGAACAGAAGTATGACTCCCTACAGGTCATTTAATTTACTTTGGGACAAAATTGGGACACTCTTTATCCTATATGTGGGCTGCACTCTTCTGAGGATATGAATCCTACCTTCATAGGTAGTACTTTTAGGCAAATTACTCTAATAATGATAATCACTTCCTATTCTCTCTTGTGCCCTAGAAAGGGTTTTTTTTTCCCCTCTCTTTGCTCAAACTAAAATGACATGTCTCCATAAGCAACTCATTCATTTCTCCTCACTTCCCTTTCCCTCCCTTGAGAAGTTGTGTACGTGAGTCAATTAACCTGGTTCCACGTGGCTGCAGCTGGGGAAACACGGCACTTTTACTTCACAATGTCTTTTCAGTTACCCACGGACAGACAAGACTTCCCGCCTCAGTGAAGCTGAGCGCTCAACAAAAACTTACATCTTTTCCCAGCACTCTGAGTTCAAACTGTGTCTCCTTGAAATGAACCTTTGTAATCCGTGGCCTAAAAAACAAAGCAGACGGTGGCGGTGGTGTAGTTTGTAAGAATTAATCTTTCAGCAATTCAGAGAAGTTCCCAGAAGGAAAAGGCTGGCTCATCACAGCTCCTTCATAGACTGCTACAGCAGCTGCTGAGAGCTCCCTATAAGTCATCTGCTCTGGACCCCTTCCTAAACAAAATTCCGTTCTCATTCTCCTGTGCTTCTCTAGTAGATACAGACCAGCTTGGAATCCCCAGGCCCTTGGCCAGTACTGCCTCCCCAGCCACAGTGTAGGGCTACAGGCAACACCTCCCTCATTTAGCATTAGAACTCAGAGGAGTCCTGGGCCCACAGCCCACCGGTACACAGTGGAATGGGTAGGAAACCCTACTATACCCAATTTGCATGGACAAGAGAGTCCAGAATCACAGTACCTAAAATTTACACAGAAAATACATACTAAGATGCACTGGGAGAAAACTTATACCCAGTTTCACTCATTTATTTATCAACCACTGGAAATGTACCTGTTTTCTTTTCACTAACAAAGACCCATAAGCCGAGCACATACACTGTATAATTTTAATACCAACTCTGCCCTCAAGTTATACTTACCAGAAATACTTCCCCACTTGCTTTTTATTCTTGTAGACAACAACACCAACTGGAGTTAATCCTAAGAAATACTCAGATTTGTTTTCCCCCTGCAAAAACAAACATATGCCTATAACTATGAATTTATTCATGTCAAAACCCTTTGTCAAACTGTAGTTGGCCATACAAACATAATTTGTTGCATTAATACTGGGTCTAGTTTTTCAAAAACAGCTTAGAAAGCTAGCTAAGGTATGATAGTACGATTAGTTTTTTTTTCAAATTTTTACTGAAAAGTTTTCTTAGTGTATTCATCCTTGTAACTGCAGTTCATCAAAAGAACCTGGGTTACCAATCAGACCCCTGATCAACTCAGCCTACACCGCATCCATAGTGCTGTTCACCCCTGGCTGCACATTAACTGGAATCACCTGTGCAGCTCAATATGCTGGTGCTTGGGTGTGACCAAAACCGGTTAAATCAGAATCTGTAATGAAGGGGCCCAGGTATCAAAATCACATAAATACTCCAGGTGATTCTCCTGTGCAGCGAAGGATTGAGAACCACTGGCTTCTATCAAGAGTTCCTTCCCAGGGGCTCATCTTGATCTTATTCTCAGACGTAGATAATCATGAAGCCTTGTTTATCACCACCCTTCTCCAGAAAGTTCAGGCATCTGCCCTAAGGCACACACTTGGATTCTCTGATGTTTCTATCATGCTTCTTCCTACTTCCATTTGTGACTTTAAGACTACTCAAAAAAGTTAAAAATACCATATTTTCTGGTAAAGACTGAAGACCCCTTAATTTCCAGGCAATGATAAATCCTAATTAAGAAAATGAGATTCTGAAATGAAAAAGTCACAGAGCGGGTATGAAGGACAGGCACATGTCTGTATGAATTTTATTTCTACTCTAAGGTCAAACAACAGCCTGCAAAGTCATATTCCCAAGGAACATAAGACAACTGATATGTTTTGGAAGAGCACCAGCTGTTGCCCACTTTCAGTTCTAAAAATTCAATCTTAAAGGAATGTATGGAAGATTCTAATGAATCCAGTTCATTTGCTATAAATTCCTACCATCCACAAAACTGTGAATTAGGACAAACATTACACAAATGCAGAAGCATTTTGCAGAAGACTCTCTCTTTACACATTTCCTATAAAATACAGTCCTTAAAAAACTAAAAGCCTGACAAGATTAATGTGGCTAGAAGGGAAAACGGTAACTATTCCACAAAGTTTTAGAGGTGTTCTCAAATGACAGCAGTATAGAGCATTTAATGATATAACGAGATTGGAAGCTAAAATATCCAGGAATTACTACTTCCCCCTAAAATACGTAACTTTTATTACCCTACTAACAGTATACCCAGGGATGTTTCTAACTCTTCACAAATAATGAGATGATTTCTTGTTTTAGGAAACTCTGATGTGCAAAAGACATATTGAGAAATGAATGCATGAATCAGTTATCTGCATTATGGTAAGTTTTATCAGGGCTCCTTAAAAATTACATTCCATAATTTAATTGACATTGTCTATATATAATCTTGAGCAATTCATTTTGTGTAAAGAATAAGGCACCTGGCTCATTCTCTCAAATCATCAAATTTGACTGTTGCTAACTGAACTCTTATAAAATGAAAGGCAACGACATTTCAACCTCATTGGCAAAGAATTATCCATTGAGAGAAATGGCTTCAAGGTTAAGACATGGATTCAGAATATTCAACACAGATTCAGTGTCACTGTTCACCGACTCTATTCGGCAAGTTCTCATCAGTTGCTAAAGAAAATCTGCCAAAATATTTCCATTAATGCAGTGGCAATAACTACAGTGGGGCAGCAGCCCTCCTGTTGAAGAACCTGCACATCCACACCTGTCCTGGCACCAAGGCCTACTTCTCTGGAAAGTGACTTCATGAATATCTTTCAGCCATAAAATCTATTTTTGGAAAATCCTCCTGTTTTCTAATACAATCAATTGTAGACCAGTTTTAAGTGGTTCTGATGTTTAGCTAAGCCCTATGGAGCTGCTATCCAGATTGTGTTTCCAAGCCCAGTTAATTGTTTTCTACACATGGAAACATAATCACAGACTTTTAAGCAAAACTCATTAGGGTTGAATCCATGCAAGAGATTCTGTGTGTTTGAAAAGCACAGATGAGAAAGCATCATCTGCTCGCTAAACAACAGCACTGCGGCTTTCCTCTGGGAGTTTCAGTGACTTTTTAAGAAAAATGTCATCAGCTTAAAATATCTTGTGTTAATTAAATGTTACTCACATAGACAGGATGGAGGTCAACGCCATACATCTCCAGGGATTTGGCAGTCCTCAAGTAATTCAGCTCTGCTTCAGAAGGAGTCTGACCCCTACACCCAGCATAAAAACAAAAAGCCTTACTTTACTAATAGATACTGCACTTGTAGGGAATAAGCCATCTTCACTTTATTCACTGGAAAAATAATCCCTTGTGCTAGGGCAAACTTAAGTCTTTGTATTTCAAGAAGTCCCTTGCCTCCATGGTGACAAAATGTTACACTCTGAGGTAATACCTGTATTAAGTTAATTTCATTTACCAAATCTGTTTTTACCCAGTATAGCCAATCCCAATGTCCCAGCATATATTTAAAATTCTGTATCAGAAACCCCCAAAGAGATTGAGAATATAAGCACTCGAATTAAAAAGTACATCCTTTACAAAGAGTAAAATGTCTCCACACACCAGCAGCTCTCGATCAGGATAAAGAGGAGTAAGAGTAGTGGTGGGTATGGAGAAGAGAAGAGTTTCCCCAACACCTAGCTGGGGTCTCAAGAGCATCTCCTGAGCACATATGTAGTTTGAAAATACGTGAATATTTCTAAATAATAAAAATACTTATTTTCTTAATACAAAGTATAGAAATCATCCCCAAATCTTCATTGGTGATAATATTCGTAAATAGTATTCATTCCTAACAAGTGTGAGCATCTGCCAGGAATCTCCATGGATAAGTGGAACTGTGTGTGTATAAGTAACAGAGAAAGATAGAAATTTTTTATTTGTTAATAAAAGGAGCTATGAATTTAATTACTAAATCCTACTTTGATGCATCCCATGTTTCCACCACGGTGCCCTGGAAAACCTAGCAATATACATAATTTTGAAATCTATGAAGAATGTTCATTACAAATTAGACACAAGAAAGCTACCAAACCTTGATCAAGTTTTATTCTCTGAAATAATAGTCACGCTGTCAACACCATCACGTAAAACATGTAAGGCCCTTTACCCAAAGCTCCTTGATAATTTCAAAAATGTAATTGTACTTTGAAACTCCTAGAATTAGTATTCTCAGAATGTGCCAAACACACTGCCCTTCATAATGTTATAACAGGCACTCTCTTAGCATCCACTTCAGCAAAACCTTAAAATGAAGGACTCTATAATCAGGCTGGAGAGCATTCTGGTGCATGCTAATACAAGATGGAAAGCCTGGTTTCTCTGATTGCAATTCAGCAATTGACTTCTGCTGCTACTCACTGAAACAGATCCTTTAGGCAAACATTTTTTGTTGACCAGATTAATTCTATATTTTTTTCCTTAACTATAATAGATCTGAAACCAAGCAAATTCAAGAGGGAATGTTACATAAGAGGCAATAAAGCAAAGTTAATCAGTATAGAGGATTTAACCAAAATAACTATAATTAAATTATAACTTCAATAATTAATTCTGCATTAAGTGGAGGGTCTGAAAATTCAATTAATGCAGGCCATTAATTGAAAATCCTACTAGGGGAGTGTGTATATTCTCAGAAGTGCATGTGGTGTTAACATAATACCCTCCAAGGCTCCACACTGGTGTCATCGTGATTTCCACATTCACTGCTATAGACTGAATAGGACTTTGCTTATAACTGTGAAGAATTTACATACTTAAGACAGACCAAATCCAGAATATATTAAGGCTTTTGTGATTACAAAATATATTTATAGCTGAAAGAATAAATTTCACAAGGTACTGGTGACTGAAAAAATAGAAAACTGCAAAATATAACATATACAGAATGATTTCATTTATGTAAAATCATATATACAAATAAATTTTCTCTATGGGAATTTATGCAAAGAGGGGGATTCAAAATCTATTTGCCCCAAACAGTGGTCATGGAAATTTAACACAATGCTGTATCAAAAATATGTTGACTTTAGGCATTGGGATTTACTCTCTCCTTTATATTTTTAAAATTGCTTTGGTTTTCTATGAGCATTTTAGTGTTATAAGCAGAAAAAAAAAGACAAAATACTAGAATGTTCAAGGCACAGGTGAAGAATTTATCATTCTAGAAACTTAAGACTGCCATTAGCATAAGATGATAGTTGATGGATGATGCAACGTAAGACATGATATTTTTTCCACCTTTGAGATATAATTGACATACAACACTGTCATGTGTAATTTTAAGGTATACAATGTGTTGATTTGATATACTTCTATACTACAAAATGACGACCACCATAGGAACGGTTAGCTAACACCTTCACACTGTCACAAAATTACCATTTCTTTTTTGTGGTGAGATCATGTAAGATCTACTTTCTTAAAAACTCTCAAGTATATTGATGGCCCTTGAGGGCTTTACCCTAAGTGAAATAAGACAGAGAAAGACAAACACTATGATATCACTTGAGGTGGAATCTAAAAAAGCCAACCTCATAGGAACAGAGACATAGAATGGTGGTTACCAGGGACTGGGGGGTGGAGGAAATAGGGAGATGTTGGTTAAAGAGTGTAAACTCTAATACAATAAAGTTTTGGGGATCTGATGGATAGCATATGTTGATTATAGCTAATAAAAAGTGATTCTTACATTAAAGTTTTATGAATCCTTTCTATGGCTTCCTCGAGTTCCTCCTTCTGATCAGGAACAAACCGGTACTCTGACACATAGCCTGCAGTATGCTTATATGGGTCGTAATCTCCAAGCTCAGCTACAAAAGAAATTGCATTTTTTTCCATTTTAGAAAAATATTCCTAAAACTATTTTAAAATATTCCTATCATGCTGAAACATTTTCTTCAAATGCCTTATTAATAAATTCAAACATAACTAATTTTAGTAAAAAACTACTCTGGTGAGCGTATATGAATGGTATAAATAAAATCTTGTCTTAAAAACATAAGTTCTATATTTTTGCTTTCTGAAAGACTATAATTATCATCATTTGCATTTCAATTATTTTTACCAGATTATATGAAATAACATGTTGTAAACAGAATTTAGAGTACATATATTAGAAATGCTAGAGGCAAAAACAACCAGGATACCAATATATCCTCTCAGAAAAGAACACCAAGAGATAGAGCATATAATTCAAAATCTATTTGCCCCAAACAGTGGTCATGGAAATTTAACACAATGCGGTACGTTGGTTTACACAAAAAAGCAAAATGAAACCAGAAAGCTCATTATATTACATTTATTAAAATTTTCCTCCTTACGTTAATCCACCTTCCAAGCCCAACCCAGTTCATCTATGTGACGTTTTTCCTAGGATATTTTTTCTAGACTATTCCTGGTCTGCAAGTGCCACAAAGGCAAGGAACATACTGTCTCACTGCCCCTGTACCTAGCAAGAGTCCTAGAAAGGGCTCAGTATATATGAGTGGAAACATCCTCAGCCTCCAAAATGACAATACAACCTGGAGCTGCCCAACATGGTTGCCATATTGATGCCAAGAGAAGAGATGCAATGAGGGCCACACCCTGAATTGGCCTTGGCATCTGACCATATAGAGTCTCCACAACAGCTGCCTGAGAGCAATGTGATCTCTGAGATATCACACCTTGGGGGGATCAACAAACTCAGGTGGGATATAGAATGGAAGGGATTTTCAGACCCTCCACTTAATGCAGAATCAACGCCATTCCTGTGACTAAAACTCCAAAGTGACCTATTACAAAGGATACATAACTGGCTTCACTTTTGCCTCTTCTGAAAGGACACGGATTAAAACTTGAATTCTGACTAAACTTTTGTTCAGGGAAATGTCACTTGATAAGAAGAATTTTAGTACGTAAACTTGCTTAAAAAGAAAAATTCAAATTTCTTCCCAGTTTGCTGCCGTGAAACCTACACTGGATGGCATATGCTCCCAGCTGAGCAGCAATGTTGACAGGGCAAGGCAGCCGGCCCTGAAGGACATCTTGCTTCACCTGCAAGAAAAACTGGTATCTACAAGAGAAATGGAAAAAGAGATTAATGATATCTTCCACTAGCCAGGCTCTGATAATCACGGCACCAATCACCTTCAATGAAAATAGAGCCACTTCGGGCGCCTGGGTGGCTCAGATGGTTAAGCGTCTGCCTTCGGCTCAGGTCATGATCCCAGGGTCCTGGGATCGAGCCCCACATCGGGCTCCCTGCTCGGCGGGAAGCCTGCTTCTCCCTCTGCCTCTCTCTCTCTGTCTCTCATGAATAAATAAATAAAATCTTTAAAAAAAAAAAAGAAAGAAAATAGAGCCACTTCGGGCGCCTGGGTGGCTCAGATGGTTAAGCGTCTGCCTTCGGCTCAGGTCATGATCCCAGGGTCCTGGGATCGAGTCCCACATCGGGCTCTCTGCTCCTTGGGAGCCTGCTTCTCCCTCTGCCTCTCTCTCTCTGTCTCTCATGAATAAATAAATAAAATCTTTAAAAAAAAAAAGAAAATAGAGCCACTTCTGCTCCCTGGGGAGGGGGCTGTTGAGTGAGCAGTTTAAACACCCTCTACATAAGGGAGACGGGGTCATAGCGAAAAGGCATAGGCTCTCAAGTTAGCCTGGCTGGACTGCATCCCAGCTCCGGACTCACCTGGGCAGCTGCTGACCCTCTCCAACAGCCCGTCTCCTCACCTGCAGAACCGGGACAGCAAAGTGTCTACACCTCCTAAGGTTAATGTGGAGGTTATATAAGCTATTCCCAAGACTCTCATTACTGCTGCTACCACAGCTACTCCGACACAGCCTTACTGGGAGGAACAAACCGTAAGGACCTAACCGACAGGACGTGTTGCCTACAGGGTCTAAAATCATGGATACGGGACAAAAAGGTCATCGTAGTGCAAGTCTATCAATTCTCATGCCCATTATCCATGGCTTTGCTCATTCCATTTGCCTAAAAAAAAGAAAACCCTGTTATAATAGCGTCATCCACAGTTCTAAACACTGTAAATATAATAACTCATTCCAAGTGTTTACATATAATTTCCATAAGACTTTAAAATAATGTCAGTAGTATCATCTCCATTTTGCAGAATGAAGACTCTGACAGACACAAAGAGATGAAGTAACTTGTCCAAGACGTCACAACTAGTTAAGTAGCAGAGCCAGAACTGGAACCCAGGCAGTCTGACCCTGGAACCTCTTAATCAGAATGCTATGCAACTTTGGCTAGCTTCCCCTCCCCCGCCCCCCTTCAGTCTTTAAGCCTGTGCCAGAGGTTGATGAACCAACACAATGAACCATCAACACCGTCCTCGGCTGCCATCACCCACCCCCCCACCCCCCCACACACACACACACACACACGCCCACACGCCCACACATGCACCAGGCTGTCATTGTGGTTTCTCTTTCTTTGGAAGCCAACTCTTGATGTCACTGGGAAGGGCAGAAAAAGGGCAAAGGAAATGAATTATAAAAATCAGCTGTGATAAGCTGCTCTTCTCCAAATGCTTACCAGCAAGGCCCATAGTAAGGGAATCCAAATGTTAGATGCTACTTATTATTATTATTATTTCTCGAAGACTGATACCAAGTTTGATTTTATCCATAAGCTTAAGAGATAATCCGTGTAACACCCTGTGTTTCCCCACTGCCCATTTCGGTAAACAGCACCACAGTCTCCAGATATTCAAGTGAGAGAAACCTACCAATAATGTATAACCCCTGGCACCCACATCCAATCACTGAATCTGTTGTCTTTTGGAATCCGCACACTGCTCTCCATCTCCTAGCCCAGGTCGCTATCCCCTGGATTTCTAAAATCTTCAGTGCTCTGCCATCATTCATACTTATCTCCCTTACAAACAACCTTCCCAAGAGGTAAATGAAATCCTTAAGAGAAAAACAGGATCAAGTCACTCCCTTGACAAACAGACAAAACCTTAAAAAACTTCACTCTACTTTCAGATCCTTAAGAGAGCTTGTGACGTGTGCAGCTCGGTCATGGAGCGGCTTCCCTGGCCTCCTCTGCAAAAGGGGAGCATCCCTATCCCGCCACCACCACGTGCACAGGGGCCCAAGAGCGGTCGCCATCCAGGTTTCCTCCAGCCCACAAGCGACAGAACCGCAGCCTTCCCCTCCTGCAGCTCACTGGCTCGTGGCCACCCGCAACTATTACCAGCGCCACTGGGGTTCCACTTCCAGTAACAGCCCCTGCAGAAGTGCAGGGCATCCTGGGGAATCCAGCCCTCACCACCCTGCTCTGCCCCACACCAACCGGGGTCACTGGTGGACAAGCTGCTTTTAAGGGAAGTCCACTCTCTCATTCATGGCTACACTGCTGGAGTTCCCGCAATGCTCGGAATTTCCCCCAAGCCTCCAGCAGCACGATCACCTGTGACTTGGCTCTGGAAGCCATGAGGAAGCAGCCTAGTGACCAGCCTGGCAAAGCCAACACCGGGCCCCAGTCCTGAGTGGCCACCACCAACCCCAAGGCTTCAGGAGATGCTAGGAGCATCAGAGCTCCTTCCTTCCTTTCCCATAGACTAGGCAGGCTGCAGCAAGCAGAAGGAGCTGGGTTCTTTTATGGCAAAACACCGAAAAATAAGTTGAGAGACCCGCACTCTACTCTCCAAATCACATTCAAGCCTTCCTGACACCCTGTAGCTATGTGCATCAAGTATAAAATAAACTCCAAACGGCCAGGGGAAAAAAAAGAAAAGAAAAAGAAAAGGCTTGTAAGACTTTTGCTTCTTGAGCGAAATCTCTTGCCATTAACCAATGACTACCTCACTCCCTAACTTGCATTTACTTTTCTAGCTCTACTTAACTACTCACCATGCCCTGAATGCTCATCTTGGATATCAAATCCACTTTGTTATAATCATCTGTCCTCCTCTTGAAGAGGAAAAAAGCAGGGTAAAGCATTATTAGCAGAATGTAAATGCAAAAGCTTATAAACTGAAGAGACATTTTGCTAGAATTACTACTGCTTACTGGAAACTTACATTTAGCTACACTCTCTTTCTCTATTGTTAACTTGGAATTTCTTTTCCTGAAGTGTATTTTTTTTTTTTAGGAAATGGGTCACAGATGCATATTTATTTTGCTCTATTAAGACTTTTATAACATCTGACTGAACAGTCAAATCGCTTGCCAAGTACAGAAACAGAGGGACCTAATCCCACAAGAGTTTGCTTCAAAGGCAAAGGAAAAAAAAAAAAAAAACCCAGAGGGAGATGAAAAAACAAAGAGCTGAAACAGAGAGAAAGACAGATACAAAGAAACAGGGACCCTATCCCATCAGGGATTGTAGTCTCAGTATATAGGTCTGGCACATAGTAACAGCTCAATAAATAGTTGTTGACTTGGATGGATATACAAATGAGCAGGGAGACAGATGGCTGAAATGGAAAAAACTGAACATTCTTTGCTGTCTTTGAGAAATTCACAAAGAAAAAGAAAAAAGGAATCTGTTCAAACTTCCCTGGACAGCCTGCCTTTTAAAGATACCAGAGATCTTTAAGTCATTGCATTAAAAAAAAAAAAAA